GACACAGTTATATATCAGCAACACATGCAGACAATAAAAGAAATGTGGAGTGACGGCCTCTGCACCTACAGGCGATGCAACATGGGGTCCAGACTACAGGCCATGAAGGGAAATCAGAATATTCCAACTTATTTCACTGGGTCTGTTTCACAAACACGTGTTCTCAAATTGTATGCAAATTCCAAGATTTTTGTACGAAGCAAACACATATCAGTTAGGGATCCAAATTTAAAACAGGTCTTTGAAAATGAAATGTAAACTCCAAAGAAAGCATCTGTAATTTGAAGAAAAAAAATGAAAAGTAAGAAATAAAATGTATTTATATCTCACTCTGGGGGAGAAGGGTTTTTGGAAAATGATACTTATCTAAGAAAAAAACAATAACAGGTCCATTATACAAAAACCCTACTCACTAGTAATTACAAGGTAAGTTTTGCCTATTGAGTTTACCTACTGTCTCAAAAATGGAAAGACAATGGCAGACTCTGCTATTGTACCAGGAACAGCCTCTGAGATGAAAAGAAAATGACAAATCTCCACAAACGCATGATTTAAATATCAGATACTGTAATTATGACTCGGTCTCAGCTGAGATCGAAATACAGTATTTCTGTTCATTCATAAGCTCCCTAGCAAATGATACACTGCCTTAAGGATATGCCTGCCTTCTAATTGAATTCTTTTACTCTTTCAGTACCAGCCAATTGGCCAAGACATGATCATGTGACATCAAATCATTTTGTTTACTGTTGTCTCCCTACCTAAATGATCGATTTTGGCTAAGGGAGGGTCATGTGATTCTTTCTTGGCTGCGGTATAGGATTTTTGACACACTCTATAACACAGGTTAAACAAAGTACTGCAAGGTACTACTTGCAATAGCCCCTATTAAACTTAAACTGCACTTTAGGCAACACTTGGAGTGCATTTGTTTTGTTTTCTGTTGCTTTTTTAGGCTTCTTAACTACATTGCAGAACACAGGAAAAAAAGGAACATAGTAAGAAAAAGTAACGTTAGAAAAAGAGTAAAAATCCCAAAACAACAAAAAAAAAAACAACTCCTAAACATTTCCATAGGCATAACTAGGTGTGCCCAGCAAAGTCTGGGGTAAAAGCAGCATTTTAAAGTGAGTGGGAGGGACAGAAACTGAAAAAAACTAAGAGTTTTTTTTCACTTACATTTATCCAAGAAGGTTGTTGCCATTACTTCTGCAGTGCTCTCACTGGCTGGGAAGATCATGTGACCCAGGGAACTAAAATAGAAAAGTCTCAGTAGCGAGGAAATTGAACCAGAAGTGTATTTGCAAGAAAACACGTATCATGGGCATAATACCATGCTCTTACCAGCGAAAGGTGATAAATTTAGAAGCGAACCTGTCATGTATGGAAAAATGAGCAATGCCTTGAACCTTACAGCCCAGTATCTGTCACCTTTTCGACACATGGGAAACGTTTTTGCTATAAATCTCAGTTCGTGTCAGTACGTAACTAAACCTGGTAACTGCTCTAATAAATCTGAAAACATTATCAGACCCTAAAAAGAAAATATGATCTGGTAAATTTAAAAATAAACTTCCACTGCCGGAACCATTTTCGTCTTCAGACTAAGGTTTTTATTGTTGTTTGTATCTAAAAAGGAAGCAATTTTTAAAAAAGCATACTTTTTAACATAATTGGGAGAGCTATAAGCACTTATTTTGGAAGATTGTTTTCAATACTTCCACAAGTAAAAAATATGGTTGCACGTCTGCAGACTGTTAGAACATACACTATAAATCTGCAAGTTGTAAATAAAGAGCAGGTTCAAAGACTCTGAGGCAAAAGCTGTACAGACGAATTAGTGACCAAATGCAAGTTCTATGCAATTATATAATGTCGTCTGATTTTGAAGGTGCTGTTTGTTTATCCCGGCCAGCAGAGCATATCTTCCAGTTCTGTAAAGCTTTTAGAAAATAAAATTGCAGCTCAATACTGTATAGGAAATATGCACGTTAACTTTTTTAACAGTTAACTTTTTCACCATTTATTGGTTTACTTTAAAGTAGGTTGCTGTGGCTTTATGTTTATAAAATGTCAAGCATCTCCTTGCTTTTAATGCGTGTCTTGACAGTTATTGTAGAGGAAGGTTTTACTAAAAGATGCAGACAGCAATATGAAGGTGGGAGTGATCAAGGAAAAAGAGAAATATGCTGTAATACACTAACAGAACAAGGGCAGCAAAGAATTTATTCTAATCCTTTAATGGAATCACCCCCATCCTGCAGTTATAAGAGAGTGAATATATTGAAGGTCCCTGCCTTTCAAAGCAAGTGGCTCAGAAGGGCTTCTAGATTAAAAAAAAAAAGGTAGAAAACACAAAGCAAAGTCTTTCACAGCAGACTCCCCCAGTCAACACACACACACACACACACACACACACACATACACGTTTATAAAATTAGAGAACATTTTCAAGCAAGACAGATACTTTGATATTACAAAACCAAGAGCTGTCTTATTCTACAGGATATCCCAAGACTTGCACTGACCATTTCACAAAGTGAAACAGCATTCCCTGTAATCATGGCAGCATGAAAAGGCTGCTCTTATCTTCCCTATTTTTATTAGAAGTTGTGAAAGGAGACATGAGCATTGACTTGAAGTAACAGAATAGAAAAATGCATATGAGCTACTGTCATTATTTGAACAGAAAGTCTTTCCAAAGTTACAAAATGTGAAATATTATTAATGTTATGTTTTTCTTGAGCAAATATACATTTTTAAATCTGCAGTTCATATTAGCGTGTACATACCTCCTAATATACTACCAGGTTCACGTTTTTATCACTGCGGTCTCAAGAAAAGCTCTGCATAACTTAAATTATGCCATTTAGCAGAGCATGTGGCAAAACTGAAGTCAGTGAAAGTTTTCTATTGATTACAAGAGGAGGACTGGGGCACTGAAATTTGTACAGAAAACAGTAGATTCTGTCATAGCTCTTAAAAAATAGCCTGAAGAAAACTGACTCCATTTATGTACTGCTCATTGATTTAAAAAGCCTAGATGAAAAATCGTTTGTCGAATCAATTTTAAATGTAACACTGGCATGCTTAACCATATTTTGGAGAAGCTCTAGATAGGTGTGAACAGAGCCCGTCTCAGAGTATTCTCACCGCACATCCCACACACGCTACAAATCATCTCAGCCACCCCTTTGCTGCCAAACGCGTATCTTGGGGCAGACTTTCTATGTTACATTTTCCCACATTTCATTTTTCAGCTTGAAATTATGAAGGCTGCAAAACTCATGGGGGAGGAGAGCTAAATAATACTAGAATGTAAAACTAGACAGTTAATGGGACTGAAACGTAATTATAAGCAAAACAAACCTCCAGAGAAGGAAAATGAATCA